TCTTCAGGGGTCGTGGGTGCCCCTCTCTGTTGGGTGGAGATTCAGGCGTGGAACTGCTGGGTCTAAATTCTGCCAACGGGTTTTCCAAAGTGATCTGAGAGTTTGATGAGGGCCTGGCACGACCTGATCCCTGTGGATGAAAGACCATGTCTGCCGCTTTGTGGAAGAGAGCTGTGAGGGTCTGAGTGGAGGCGAGACCAGTTGAGTAGGTGATGGAGTGGTCCAGGTGAGCAGGGACAGAGCCGCAGGTAAGGCTGGTAGCAGCGGGAATGAAGCAACGTCATCCCACTTCAATGAGAAGGATGCAGTGAGCCGACTCGCCTAAGCCCCGCGATGGAGCACAGAACCATCCCTGCCGCCTGGGGCTCACTTAGCCCAGCAGTCTACCTCCGGGGCCTCTCCTGGGCTCAGGGCCCCATCCCCTCTCCAAAGCCCGTTGAACTGTGGCTCTGCAGCCCCGAGGGCTAACAAAGCTGGCACAGGAAGCCTCAGAGAGAAAACAGGCCTGCTGGGGACAAGCAAACAACTGCCCTCCCTCCCAGCCGGGAAGTCACTTGAAATCTAGTTGTTTTGCACATTTGTTCATGGCCCCTGCTCAGCTCCCCAAACACCCCATCTCCTGGGCTGCTCCCTAGGTTTTCTCTGGGGTTGGGACCCCAGTAGCAAACACCCAGCAGTTTCTCAAGCCTTGTTCATGCTCCACCCCAAGCTGCCCGCTGCAGTGGGGGACAGGGGGCACAGGCATCCCCAGCTCACCCACCTGGCACCTTTGGGCAGAGTTGGTGGTCACCGCATCCATGCCTCCCAGCATGGAGTGTGGGGCATGACAAGCCTCCTCCACCCCTAAAAAACATATCTGGAAACCCAACCACATATGTGTTTCCTGTAGGGACCAGTCAAAATTGGCCAACCACCTAGTCAGCAGTCTAACTGGAAATGAGCCACGTTTATTACTTCACTAGGTGGGGGTGAGGGCTGCCTACGTGTGGTTGGGTCCTCTGGGAGTGTCAACACAGCATATCACCAGGACTATTTGAGGTAGGAACAGAAATCCAATTCCAACTGGGTTGAACAGCAACACAACAAATTCACTGGATTATGCACTTGAGAGTTCTTGGGGTTTGGCTTCAGGAATAGCAGGCTCCAGGTGCTCAAAAATATCTTAGGCTCAGAATCCTCAACACAGCACTCCAGATGAAACGAATCATCATCCTTTTCCAATACACCACCTCCCCCCAGAACCTGCCCGCTTCCCCAGTACTGCTCAGCAGAAGTGTGTCGACATGGACTAGGTATCTCCCATGGGCTACCCCTGCACTGGGCACATTTGAACAATCAGGTTTTAATGAAGGCCATCTGCTGCTGTTCCCCCTTCCCTCTGCCTAAGCTCTGAGAAGTGCTGAGAGCAATCTGTTTCCAGAGTGCATCCACAGACATTTAAGATGGAAGGTCCATGTTCTTGAGGCCATCCCAAGACAGAGACCCTACAGCAGTGGCCCAAATTTGCCACCCCAAAATGTGTCTCCCTGTCATATTATTATTATTATTATTATTATTATATATTTTTTGCGGTACGCGGGCCTCTCACTGTTGTGGCCTCTCCTGTTGCAGAGCACAGGCTCCGGACGCGCAGGCTCAGTGGCCATGGCTCACGGGCTCAGCCGCTCCGCGGCATGTGGGATCTTCCTGGACCGGGGCACGAACCCGTGTCCCCTGCATCGGCAGGCGGACTCTCAACCACTGCGCCACCAGGGAAGCCCTGGCATATTATTTTAAGCTGGTTATTTTCTAAGAAACAGCAGGCATGGGAAAAACTGAAAACCAAGTAGGAGTTACCCTTTTGTAAGAAACAAAAATCTCCATTTGTAAGGGTATCTCCCTAACTGTACCAGGTGTAGGAGTATGACCAAACGTCTAGAAACTCTTATCAACAGAGGAGACAGCGACTTAAATCCACATAACGCCCATACCCCTGTTCACTGTGCCTCTCCTGGGAACCTCTCCTAACTGACTCGCCCCACCTTCAACATCCTCTTTTGCCTTTAGCTGAGGATGGTATTTAAGGTGAGCGCTTTGGCCATTTTGGTGAGTTACTCAGTTTCCCCAGGTCTCTCCCATGTATACACATCATTAAACTTTTTTTTTTTTTTGCGGTACGCAGGCCTCTCACTGTTGTGGCCTCTCCCGCTGTGGAGCACAGGCTCCGGACGCTCAGGCTCAGCGGCCATGGCTCACGGGCCCAGCCGCTCCGGGGCATGTGGGATCTTCCCGGACCAGGGCACGAACCCGTGTCCGCTGCATCAGCAGGTGGACTCTCAACCACTGCGCCACCAGGGAAGCCCCGTCATTAAACTTTTGCTTGCTTTTTCTCCTGTTAATTTGTCTCACGTTAATTTGATTCGTAGTCCAGCCAGAACAAGGGTAGAGGAAAAGTCCCAGTCGGTAGCATTTGCCAACTTCCATGTTGTAAATCCTCCCACTGTAGCCGATTTCAAGCTTCCAGCCTGATGTTGCTGAAAACAGAGTTGGGAAAAGATGCACACGATCCGCCCTCCAGGGCTGATGACAGCGGCTCCAGCACCCCAGTCTTGGAGTACATCATGCTTCCCATGCGATTCTAGAAACACATCAGATTTTTCTTTGAGGCTAAGATTCACCAACAGTCACTCAAGAACACGTGCTTACAACCCAGGACAGAAACCTAAGTTCTCTTCTGCAACTTAGAGCTACTTCCCAAATGGCAGTTAATGTTACTTTAGGTTCTAGAATGAAACACGCAGGGAGAGGCCTTAGCTGACCGTCTGTCTGCAGAGCCTCCTCTGGGCACTGGGTCCTTCAGTCACTGGGTTCTGCTCTCGTCTGTGATGGTCACATTTAATTCCCTAGTTCACTGACAAAAGTAATACCTTTGTAAATTTTCCCACAAAATGTCACTATGGAAAATGCTAAACATGCACAAAAATCGTACATGAGCATCGTGACCCGACTTGAATTGTGATGAATTTGTGACCGATCTTGTTGCATCTCCCCCGACTCATTCTCCGTCTCCTGCGTTACTTTGAAACAAATCCCAAACAACCTATCATTCTACCTAGAAAGAGTTCAGTCAAAAGCAATACCGTTTTAACCTGGAAAACTCATTTAAAAGGGGGTGTAAGTAACTGAGAGGTCTAAATTGTCAGCCTTCACTTAGTGGAATTTTTAACTAGGCCAAAGGAGAAGAATGAAGCAGGGATGGTGGCGCCCAGAGCATCATTTCCCCAGCAGGGAGGTGGGGGAGGGGAGGCCTCGGAGGGGGCTGCTATTGGTGGCCTGTGAACCTCCACCTGTACACAGCCAGTCCCCCTCATGCCCGCACCGCTCTCAAGGCCATTCTTGTTACTACCCTCCGTCAGATTCTCGCGCAAAAGGGTATTTGAGTTCAATTCAAAGAATGCTCCAATTTTGTTCCATTCCCCTAAGTTTCAAGTATATAGATCTGGATGAGATGGATTCATTAGGATTTTTTACCTGTGGGTGGAGCCAGGGGGAAGCACCGGCTGCTGCTCTGAGCTCTCTGGCTCTGCAGACCCCTCGTGCTGTCGGGAGGCCTCCCCTCCTGGACACCTGGGAGGCAGCCCCTTGGAGGGAAGGCAGCCGGGTCTCGCCCTCCCCACAGCGATCTGGAGTCCGCACGCTGCGTCTCAGGACTTCAGCTTGTTCTGATTGGCTCTTGTTGCATTTAGAAAATGTGGGGGTCATTTGCAGACACTAATCAATTAGGAGGTTTTGTGTAAAAATCCCTTGGGGACCACCCAGCAGCTTCTCTACCCAGCCTCCAGCAGTGAAGGTGGGGCCTCACTTCCTCCCAAGGAGTCTTCAACCAGTGACAGGATGTTGGAATACAGCCCCAGCATCCTTGCCCCGGGGTGGGCAACTCTGAAGTATGGTCCAGGCAGGTTCCCTGAGCCCCAGCACTGCCTATTTACACTCTGCCCACCTCCTTCCCATCCCTACTCCTTCCCACTCCCCTATTTGTGCTTCCAGGAATCTCCTCCAAATCCTCAAATCCTCTGCTGGCAGGCAGTACCGTCTGCATCTAGGAGATTTCATCCCAACCCTCAGCCCAGTCTTCCCAGTGATGGCTTCTGGGCCCGGCTGGGCAGATTCCTGCGGAGCCGGCTGTGACCCATCCTTGCGCAAGAGCCGCCACACAGACCTCCAAAAGGCCTCTGCATGTGGGAAAATATTGGGCCAACAGCCTGTCATTGCAGAGAAGCTCGAGTGCAGCCTTCCCCAGCTCTGCAAGTCCAGCCTCTCTGTGCACTCGCTTTAAAGGCCCTGCAAGCGGCTGTTTGCTCTCCAGCCTGGGCAGCACTGAAGGGCTCACTCTAAATATATCTGACAAACTCGCAACCCTCCGCGGCCCAGATGTGTGTTTGTCAGTCACCCCTGAGCCTGTGGTCAAGTGGCGCCTAGAATGCCGCCGGGCAGAGGCTGCGGTTCAAAGCTCTGCACCCTGCTCTGTGCCCACCCTCCCTGGAGGAATTTCCCGGGGAAGAAAAATGGCAGGATGTTGAGATTCATTGTGAGGCTGGCTCCAAGGGCTTTGTAGAGTTTAACAAGAGGCCTGGCACTTAAAATAGGCACCAATAGGGCTTCCCTGGTGGTGCAGTGGTTGAGAGTCCGCCTGCCGATGCAGGGGACACGGGTTCGTGCCCCGGTCCGGGAAGATCCCACATGCCGCGGAGTGGCTGGGCCCGTGAGCCATGGCTGCTGAGCCTGCGCATCCAGAGCCTGTGCTCTGCAGCGGGAGAGGCCACAACAGTGAGAGGCCCACGTACCGCAAAAAAAAAAAACATGCACCAATAGATATTTGTTAAATAAATTCTGAAGCCATATGGGTGGCTTTCTCTCTCTCTCTCCCTCAGCACGAAGTCCACACATGATGTCATTGCTTGTAACAGGTAACAACTAAAACCGACCTTTGCATCCAGGGAGTGGGAGGATTAATTCCTATGCTCTCTCCACCTAATGGAATATTCGACGCCTTGTCATGGGGAGAATGTCAAGCTCTGAGCTGGAAGTACCTCCACGATGCCGAATTGTTAAGTGGAAGCGGAGCAGGCTGAAGACTGCTTGTGAGAAAAGGGAAAAAATGCTCTTCCCTGTGTGAAACACCTCTGGAAAGATAAACACTGAAATCAGCGGGTGCTGGTGGGGAGAGGTGGAACACAGCAGGTTGAGGTGAGAAAGAAACTTCACTTTGTATATTTTATAATGTATATATTATAAAAAATACACACATATATATTAATGCAACAGCATTAAAAACAAAAAGAAGGCTGTTTTCTAGTCTGAATACACTAAGCACAGTGTGTGTCCCAAGATGGGTTTCAGGATCCCGGATCTGCCCGCCCAGCACTGACTCAGAGCAAACAGCCCCCAGTCTGTCTTGATAAGGCCAGGGTGGCCCATGTGTGGCCCCTTCGGAATCAGACCTGCCACCTTCGCCTCCTCCAGGCAGAAACAACAACCAGAAGAAAGGGTTCTAACAAGGACAAGGCAGACGCTGCTTCATTCATTCTGGACCCATTTGCTGAGCACCTGCCGGGTGCCAGGCAGTGTCCCAGGCTCTGGAGACACAGCAGAACAAGACATAAAAACCCCTGCCCTCCCGGGGCTGGCACTCTAGCCAGGAAGGAAGGGGGACAGATGACGGAGAAGTTAAATAGTGACAGAGGCAGTGTGGTAACTAGTGGCGAGGGCTAAGCGGGGGGAACATCAGGAAAGTGGACCAGAAGTGGGGGGTTGCTATTTTAGGGGGGCGGGGAGTCCCCACTGAGAGGCCAAGGCCTGAGAAGGTGGGGGCTGGACTGTGAGACAGGGGCTGGGGGAAGCCAGCGGGACCAGCGGGTGCAAAGACCGCACAGAGCTCCACAGGGGACCAAGCCCCTCCCCCATTTGGGTAAGGGTCTGTGTGCCCTGGAGCTCCTGGAACGCCGGGAGACCTGGGTCCATCCCCACTGCTTTGTACGGGAGCGAGGGCGAGGGCGAGGGCGAGGGCGAGCGAGAGGGAGAGGGAGAGGGAGAGGGAGAGGGAGAGGTGGGGCCCGATTTGGAGAAAACAGGCCCCAGGGCCCAAAACAAAAATAAATATTCCAAGGATACTTCGTCCTAAATCTTCCTCTACACAGACTTTCCCAGCATGGGTTCTTCAGACCACTTGTCCTGCAAAACGATCACCTGAGAGTAAGAGGGCCTAGGGGTCCCTTGGAGATTCACAGGGTAAGAAAACCTGTCTTGCTTTGTCCAACTGGGGGAGCATCTGGGCTCACCAGACAGGCAAGCACCCTGGTATCGGGGCGACCACCCATCTGTGGGAGCACATGCAGCATAAGGGAGTCCCACCTCCTGCTGCCCCAAAACCTTCCCTTTCGGAATGGGGATGAAGGGTGGAGGGAGGCGGAAGAGGACTTCCTGAAAGTGCAGCCTGGAGGCCCTGCTGGGGGGGCGGCGCCCATGTTGCTGCATGTGAGCACCCGTGCATGCGTGGGGACAGTCAGGCAGCACTGTTCACGGTGGCCCCAGACTGGAACCAGCCCAGCCCCCCATCAGCAGGATACATGGAAGATGCGCGTGTGTTCACAGGATGGAACACGACACAGCAAGAAAAAGAATCAACTACACGACACACAGCAACAGGGACGAACGTCAGACGTCTCACTGAGCAAAGGAAGCACGTCCTGTACGATTCCATTTACGTGAAGGTCAAGGATGGCGACAGACAGGTCAGAGTGTGGCTAATGCGGGGGTGACTGACTTGAAGGGGGAGTGAGGGATGCTGCTGGGAGCCAGGGCTGCCCCGCCTCTCGATCTGGGCCATACAGCCAGGCACACCTGGAATGTCTGCCCACTTACAATTCCTGCATTTCACCCTCTATGAGTTATATGCCGATAAAGAAGTAAACAAAATGAAAAGTAAAAACATAAAAATAAGGGCTGGAAAAGGGGGAAGAGGTAGCCTAGAGCTATCCACTTTTCTAGTCCTATTAGGGATTCCCTGGGTGCAAAACTCCAGACACAGCCAAGAAAGAACCTCTACATGCGCCACTTGCTAGAGCAGAAGGACCCAGCTCCTGTCTGAAAGCCAGGTGCCAGAGTGGGGCCTGGAAGATAGTAGCTGCTCAATAAATATACAGCAGATACAGGAATAGATTCCAGGCCTGTTCTAGGAGCTGGCCTCACCGTGAGCACGTGGACGCTGCTCTTTGGGAGGAGATCACAACAAGATGATTTTAGACACTAAGTGCATTGAAGAAAATGAGAGGGGCTGTGTGTCGGCGGGGACGGGCTGTGGTGTGGGGGTCAGGAAGCCCCTCTGCACTGAGACCTGAAGGATGAAAACATGCCAACTTTGGGCAGGTGAGGAGCTGTGTCCCTGACAGAGGGGATGGCCAACACACACACACACACACACACACACACACACACACACAGAACAAGCCTCGCTTATTCCAGGGTAAGGCAAATAAAACAAATAATGAGTGACAGCATGGAATAAACGGTAGAGCTCATGGTTAGGGGTCCAGCTTTGCCACTAACTTCCCGTGTGACCCTGATGGTCATTCCTCTCTGGGCCTCCGTCCTTCTTGCTGTGAAACGAGGGACTTGGCTGGAATGGGGAGTGGTGTTTGCTAGCGCCGCTCCCACCCGCCTGTGACAACAGACCATGCACATCTCCCCACCGCCCCCCTCCCCGGCTCCATGGGCAGTGACGTCACATGGGTGGGATGAAATGGGCCATCGAGGGACCATGTACACCGTGGATGTCGGCAAACTACTGCAAATCAGGCCTTTTTTTTTGAGAGCTGGTTGTTAAATATTTACCAGCACACACTGGACTAGATGGGTGCTTCTTACACTTTTGCTAAAGTCTCCTGGTGCAGAGGAGAGCTTGGCATACCCCAGAGGCCTGGGAGCTCAGTATCTTAGAGCTTTCCTTAAAATCTCCTCTTGTCGTTTTTAAGTTCACGATTTTACATTCTATGCCTTAATGTAGCTCTGCTTCTTGTTTCCTCACACGCTCGAAAGTATAAAATGTTATTTTCCTAACCCCGGGGAGACACTTTTCTCTATTCCTTCCAAACCCCAGGCCTCGGACTTGAACTTGGGCCCTGGGGGGCTGGGGGGCTAGCGAGCCAGGCCTGTCAGCCCACTGGCGAGTGTATGCGCGGCCTGTGACTCAGGACACAGGCTGGCAGGGTCCGCCCTGGACGGTGGCCCCGGTTGGCCGGCAGACGCCTGCACCTCTCGTGAAGGAGCAGCTGCCCTGCTCCTTCCTGGTGGCCCCACAGACGCTGCCAGCACCACGGGCATTTCCCCGTGGACGGAAAGGAACGAGGACTCCCTTTTCCTCCCCTGGCCTTCTGCAAGTGTGTGGGCTCAGCTTCTCAGGCTGCGGCTGGGCCAGGAGATCTGGTTTCTGAGTCCCAGACCCGAGGCTGCCGCCGGCTTCCTGGCTGACCTTGGACAGATGGCTGTGTTTTGTCTGTGACTCTTTTTCCACCGTCAGCTGCCCTTACCTCACTGCTGGGGACACTGGGGGCGTATCTAGGGCAGCCTCGAGAAGCAGACAATAGTTCCACGCACAGAGCTGGGCGCGTGAGCTGAGGGTCCGTATCACTGACAGAGGGGCCCAGACCCCCCTCCAGGGATGCAGCCCCTGGGGTGCTAGAACGTTCATCACGGAAAATTCCAGAAAAACTGTTCCAAAGCAATGCCATCCCCCAAAGGGTACCAGAGACCTCCATGGAGGGGGGCAGAGTGCAGTAGGAAGTGGGGGGGACACAGTGAAGGCACCCTGTCCTCCCTCCTTCTCTAAGCTTCTCAGAGCCACCGCCTCCCGCCTGCGTTCTCCTCCCCCTACCCCGGACCTCGGGAACCCCTGCCCCCCACTCCGCCTAACTGGTGCCCAGGAGGTCACCTCGTCATTGCAGATCCAAGGGCCACTCCCCAGAACGCAGCTCACCACCCTCATCCTGCCGCTTGGACAACCTTTGACCTGTTTCACTTAAACGCTCTACCCCACTGGGGTCTAAGTTGGGGTTCAGCCAAGGCAGAGCCCAGGACCAGAACTGGGGGCAGGTAGTTCACGTGGGAGGAGGCCCAGGAGGCAGAAGGGAGATGGTGGGGACAAGGAAAGAGCACGTGTTCTCGGGCACCTGGAGCTCCACTCCCCCTGCTCCCCTCCGAGCAACGTGTAGGATGTGCCCTGGGGTGACCACTGCAAAGGACAAAGGCTGGGGCGTGAGCTGTGCCCCCACTGTCACTTCTCCAGGGCAGGAGGACGGAGAGCCGCAGCGTGTGCTTGCAGGGGGAACACACCTGCGTGCACGGGAAGCGTCCACGCCACAGCCACAGTCAGTGGTGGACCAAGAGATGACTCGGGGGACACCAGGGTGTCCCCTGGCCTTGGTCTCCCTGACAGTTCGCCCCCCGTGGCCCTCCTCCTGCCCTGCGACACGCCTCTCCACCTGTTTCCAGGGCCTCTGAGCCCCGCCCCTCACAGGCTCCCCGACCCAGCCTGCTCCCCGCGGACTCCGGCCCTCTTGACTGTCCATCCAACGCCCTCTTCTGTTTGAGCTTCTTCCTCCCCCAAGAAACTTCTTAAAAGCAGGGACAGGCCTTCCTCTGGTGGCCTGTTACCTAACACACTGCTGGGCACATAGCAGGAGCAGCTCCAGGAAGCATCGACTGAGGGCACCAGGCAGCGTGTGCAGAAAGCTGGGCAGGCCTGTAGCTCAAGGCGCTCGCTGACACATCTAGCATTTTGACGGGGGCTCAGCTGAGGCCGTCAACCAGAGCGTCCACAGGGATCCCCTCTAGCATGGTGGTCTCAGGGCAGCTGGACTTGCCACACAGAGGCTCAGAGGTCCAGCCAACCAGGAGGAGGCTGCGGGAAGTCACAGAGCATCCCTTCCGTCACACTCCACTGGCGGAAGCAGGCAGGAGTCCACGCAGATTCAGGGAGAAGGACATAGACGCTGCCCCTTCATGGGAGGAATGTCAGAGTTTGTGGTCATGTTTTTAAACCTCTCCCGTTCTGTGTGGTGGGGAAGCGATACAGAGATAGGGAATTGGGGCTAAAATAAAATAAATAAGAAATTCTATGTTGAATGGTGGCTCCATTCAACATGACTAATCCCAGGAACCTATGACCATGACCTTATTTGGCAAAAAAAAATCTTTTCAGAGGAAATTAACTTAAGGCTCTTAACACAAGATCATCCTGGATTAACCGGGTGGGTCCTAAATCCAACGGCAGGTGACCCCATAAGAGTGAGGCAGAGGGAGATTAGACAGAAGAGGACGACACACAGGAAGGGCCACACAAGGACGAGGCAAGGATGGAGTAATGCAGCCACCAGTCAAGGAGCGCAGGGAGCTGCCCAAAGCCGTATGAAGCAGGGGGGCTTCTCCCCAGAGCCTCCAGAGGGAGCGAGGCCCGGCAACACCTTGGTTTTGGGCTTCTAGTCTGAGGATCTGTGAGATGATAAACTTCCGATTTTTAAAAATTATATTTTATTCAAGTATAGTTGATTTACAGTGTTGTGTAAATTTCTGCTGTTCAACAAACTCAGTTATACATATATATAGTCTCTGTCATATTGTTTTCCATTATGGTTTATCCCAGGATATTGAATATCGTTCCCTGTGCTCTACAGCAGGACCTTGTTGTTTATCCATCCTATATATAATAGTTTGCATCTGCTAATCCCAAACTACTAATCCTTCCCTTCCCCACTCCCTCTCCCCGTTTGCAACCACAAGCCTGTTTTCTCTGGCTGTGAGTCTGTTTTGTAGATAAATTCATTTGTGTCATTTTTAGATTCCACATGTAAGTGATATATAATATTTGTCTTTCTCTGCCTGACTTACTTCCCTTAGTGTGATAATCTCTAGGTCCATCCACATTGCTGCAAATGGCATTATTTCATTCTTTTTTATGGCTGAGTAGTATTCCATTGTGTGTATGTGTGTGTGTGTGTATATATATATATTTATCTCACATCTTCTTCATCCATTCGTCTGTTGATGGACATTTAGGTTGCTTCCATGTCTTGTCTTGCTGGGAACATAGGGGTGCATGTATCTTTTTGAATCAGAGTTTTGTCTGGATATATGCCCAGGAGTGGGATTGCTGGATCATATGGCAACTCTATTTTTAAGCTTCCAATGTTCGAAGTCACTGTTTGTGGTAGTTTGTCACGGCAGCCCCAGGAGACTAATACAAACTGAAACATAATAATGTAACAGGATTTTTTTAAAGGGACTCTTTCCATCTTCGTTTTGACTGAGGCCCAAAAGCCAAGGCCGACCAAATAGGTGGTAAGATGCCAGCACAGCAAGGGGCCCCGGACCAGATGCACAGAAACCAGGTACACGATCCTCTGTCTCCCAACCACCGCAAGGTCACGAAGGGCTGAATCTCAAGAGGCCAGAGGGGCGGAGAGTCCTCTGAAGAAAGTGGCCAGTGGCGGGGAGGCCTGCCCCGCTGGGAATGAGTGGGGATGCAGCCGCCTCGCCTCACGCCTGGGAATCTGAAGGCAGGAGGCTGTGGCCATTGGCCCACCGTGAGGGTGAGAGAGGCTGGGACCAGAGCCACTTCAGCTCCCGTCGGGACCCTGCCCTTCCCTGGCCTTCACCTCTCCCCTCTGGACTTTCCACGTGGAAGCTCCGGGAACAGCCGGGTGGGTGGTGAGGAGGGTGGGAGCTCAGGTCTGGGAAATAGCGAAAGAGCTGCCCCTACCCGCTCGCCCACCACTGGCAGTGCCCACCTGAGCTGGGCGG